CTTGATTACCTTCAAGCCTTTAAGACCCCAGACGCTATACTTTTTGATAGCCGGGCACCATCAGCTTTCTTCATCACATTTGCTTATGCACCCATTTGTCTTCAGTGATCCGTTCGACACCCCGTGAGGGGCTAGCTACTCTTATAAAGAGTTACAGTCTCAGAACGCTGTCACACGGGATTGCTATGAGTTGGAATCGACTCTGTGGCAAAGAGTTTGGTTTTGGGGGGAGGGGCATGGCAGGAGAGACTGTGAGGCAACAGGCAACTAATAATAATAAGTATAAAAAGAAAATATTCTAAAATTATGATGATGACTAAACAAGTCTTAATATGATTGATTATATTAAATTGTATATGTGAATGATATGGCAATAATACTACTTACAAATATCAGAGAAAATGTAAGAAGACACTATAAAATTCAATTAACACCCACCACACGGGGATTCTTAAATTCTCCTTAGGTTTTTTGTTCTGTTTTGTGTTTAGTTCAAAATATAATTTCATTGTAACAATTTCAAACTGTCAAAGCAGTAAAAATGCATAAATAAAAAGTGAAAGTCCTCCCTCCCACTTCCTTAAGGTAACTACCATATATACTTGAGTATATGCCAACCCAAGTATCAGCTGAGGCACCTAATTTTACCACAAAATGGCATTAAACATGTGCTGGAAAACCCGGCTTATACACGAGTATATATGGTAGTTTGGTATGAATACTTCTTTGCATTTTTAAAGATCAAAGTAACAACTGTGCCTCATACTATATTTTTTAAAAGCATAAAAGCAGGATTCCACTGTACATACTGCTCTGCAGTATTTTTCCCCCACATCTAACTTATATCATGGTTACTGTTCGATCTGTTATCCTCTAAACTCTGTTACCTGATATCTTTGATTGTGGCCCTTTTCATCGGATCCACCTGCAGCATATGTTTCAGAAGGCTAATCACAGAAGGGTTTAAATACTGAGGCGTATAAAAGATCCCATCACAGATCTTCTTAAAAAGAGTTGGCACATGATCATCATCGAATGGAAGGGTTCCACATAATAAAGCGTAAAGAATAACGCCACTGCTCCATATATCTACCTCTGGGCCTGCATACAATCTGTAACAGGAAATATCATCTAGATTAAATAACCATTAGAAATTCAAGTTAATTAATAGATAACTTTAAATATGATACTTCAAGGGGTGTCCGAAACATGGTGTCTGTAGCCAATGTTATACACTATGCATAGAGCTCCTCCTAGTTTCATTACTTTTGAAAACAAAAGCTAAGAATGTGTCTAAATTACATACAATAGCTAAAATTATGTTCTTATTGACAGCACTCAGAGGATACAACCAATAGGGCAATATTTTTATTAAGTATATCATTCCTGAATGTAAAACCATTGGAACTGTTGTTCTTCTTCAATACAGCAGATGCTAAATGATCCTTCATCGACTGAGAATCCTCTTTAGCGATGGACTCCAACCATAACACTTTGCCTAATAATCCAGACCCCTTTATCCAATTTAATAGGGCCTGAAATGATGGGGGTCAGCTATACCAATTAGTCTGCAGACGTTTTGAACTCATCTACAACAGCACTGTCACGTTAAGCACCATGCTAACCACCATGTCAGTCATTCACACCCACCAGCTGCTTCTTGGGGACAGATGAGGTTATCTGCTCTACTGAAGATTGATAGCTTATCAAACTTAATCGTAGCTCCAATCTAAGAACAATTAGTTCTTATGATGAGCCCTGCTGCAAGCTTGCCTTCATGAAAGAAACACACAAGCTATGGGTGCTATGGCAACTTGTGGTGAAGAAACTAGATGGGGGTTGGCTCTCAGAAAGAGTAACGTCTGGGGTCTTACAGACTTGTTTTCAAACAAGCAGCTATGTAAATAAGATGTCAACTAAGTCCACATGGAAGAAGCACACAAACATCCGTGATCCAAGGACTGTGTAAATAATAGAATCCAAATCTGAAAGCGGGAATAGTATCGGAGTTTAAACTGTGAGGTTCTGGTGTACAGAAGGTTATGGATGATATTGGAAGCACAAAATACATTTGCAGGATCTACACAGGGAATAAGCCTCTGGTGATTTCCCTCTCACCAGCACTGAGGAATGGAAATAACCTAGTGGTCCGAGAGTGGCCTATCTCTCATATATAAATAGACACTGTAGAAAACTCAGTTTCTCTTCTTCTTCCTACTAGCCTGGATCTTGCATCTGGCTTCTTGGAACCTGGGCTGGCAGTCTACCATGTGGCCTGCTGACTGTAGGCGTTATCGGGGGCCTGCCTGCAGCCTGTCTGGGATCCACTCAACTTTGCCTTCATTGGTCTGTGGTCTTCCCACCTCCTGCTCTGTCTTCCCGCTTGCTGGCTTCTCCACTTGCCAGCCCCAGCAGCCATTCAAGTCAGGAAAAGCCTCCAGGGTAACATCTGACACTCGAGACGTAAGCACTGCTACCCCTATACAGGCCACCTTTCTTGATATAAATGTCTTTCTTGTGTCTATAAGTGTTGCTGGTTTTGTTTCTCTAGAAAACCCAGCCTAACAATCACTATAAAGCAAAATCAACTTGATGGCAATGAATTTGTTTGGTGATCGCCAACGCTAAAGAACTGCAGCAGTGCGGCGGTTAAACACTCAGCTGCCAATCAACAGAGCTGCAGTTCAAATCTACCAGCAGCTCTAAGGAGAAAAGGCATGGCAATCTAATTCTTTAATGATCACAGCCTTCAAAGGCTGTCCACTCTGTCCTACAGGGTTTTTATTGGTCGTAAATGCTTTGACAGCACAAACAGCAAACTGACTTAACTAGCAGACTAGTCAGAACATCCATTCAAATTTTAATTTCAGGGAAGGAATTATATTTCATTAACAAGTTGTTAAAAAACTGATGAATGAAGGCCATTTTGAAAATAAGTTCTCATTCACCCAATTCTGGTAGGAAGACCTTATCCCAAACTAGAAAAATTATTCCAAGCGCATACATAATTAGAATATATTTATCTTTATTTATTGAACATTGCTCCCAGTTTCTAGGTCCCGAGTCTCTGTTTCCTCCCCACAAGATTTAAGGTCAATACAAATGAAACATTATTTTTCAAAGATATTTGGACATTAAGATAATAAGATGATGAAGCGTGATAAATTGGAAATTAGATATTCACGTTCTATTCATAACTTTTACACAAATACCATTTCTTTGAGCAGGCTAGGCGAGCAAATTTATAAAAACACTCTGCTTTCAGGGCCTTGCAAAGTACAGATAAGTATTCTAATCATATATTCTGAACTAAACAAAATATCAAAGCCCTTCAAGGAAATGAATGTGGTTTGCATGAAAAGTTATTAAAGGTTCCTCGTGTTCCGTAAACATATTGCCAGGCCTTCTTCTAAGACCCCTCTAGATGAACTCGACCCTCCAGCCTTGCTCAGGCGGCAGCTGCCCCCATCTTTTTGGTCCTCCCTAAACAGCCTACTTTTGACACCGCTTGATTTCCTTTCATCAGGTCAGGAAGTGATTCTGGACCAGCGAAATTGGTTCCTCCTTATTTTCAGTAACAAACATGCTGATAAATTACCAAATAAGGCCTTACAACCATCTTAAAATGATGGAGCCATGGCAGAATTAGGACACACGAGAAAAAGGAGCTTAGGCTGAGAGGCTATGTTCTGGACATAATGGACTTAGGAAGCACGTGGGTCACGTAACTGGTTATTATATCCAAACAAAGTAAAACTTATAACTCAGGAGCAGGAAGAGAACTCAGCCTGCTGCGATCCAGCTCCCTGGCCAGTGAGCCCCTGATCACATAGGTCTGATCCTATGTTTTCCCTGGAGGGAGGGGAAAAATTAATTTTAAAAACGAGTCAAAAACAAACTCAAGCTTCTTTGATTTCACTTTCAGTGGCATAAGTAAAGAACAAAGAGCTACTCTTAACATTAATTTCCCCATCATAGAAGCTATTCACAAAGCTGCCTAATTATAAAATACCTCATGTTCTCAATTTGGAATTCATATAATATAGCTGTATCTCAAAGATTTATGAAAGACACAACATAAATTAAATGTAAAAATTTTACCAATACTCTATTCAGATCTCCCCAAATATTACCTTAACATAAAGCCTAAACCTACTTACAAAATGCCATCTTTTTTGAAAAATAAAGCGGTACGTCATGTTTTTAATGCGTCAACTAATTAGAGAGTAAAACATTTTTTACCTATAGGTATTTCTGTATTATTCAGTTTCTAATGTCTTACCTACCTTTAAAACTTGGAAGTTTTAAAACTATCTACCATTTCTTCCACCAAGGAAAAAATGTAAACTGACCTTGTCCTTTGACAATGAAATCATTAAGTCCTATTAACTTCTGTTTTGTTTGTAACACAGAACACTTTCTAGGTAAGAATAGGATAAATCCTGCAGGCCTTTCCTTCCACGCTAGCATGACACAATAGCAAAATCTAGAGGAGTCAAAAGACAATTATGAAAGTATTCAGGGTAGAAGGGGATGTTAAATACTACCTTCCTGAGATTACTTCTGGAGCAGCATAGTTGGGTGAGCCGCAACTTGTCCTTAAAAATTCACCATCTGACATCATGTTGGAAAGACCTGAAAGTGCACAAGATCAGCTACTCGGGATTTCCCAAGGACAAAAAGAGACCCAAAAACCCCATTAAACAGTAGGAGCTTGCATTAAAATGGTAGATCATCTCTCTGTTCTTTGCTTCAACAAAAAGCATAAAGTCTTTAGTGTTCCCAAATAGTCTGCTATTGTGCTCTAAAATTTACCATCTATTTCCACACTTAAAAGTCAGCACAGGAGTTTAATGATCATATACTAAGCTCTTGATTACTAGAATAAACTTGGCACTCCTTTGGGCTGTATTAATACAGAAATGGAATGACTCAGAAAAACAATCCAGAACAGATGAATAGGATAAAAGTCAAGGCTTCTATTAATGGTCCAGTGCAGTGAATGAACTGGTGTAGTTCTTCTAGCTATAATCTCTGTAAGTCCCACTGAATGACCTTTTCCTGATGGGTCTGGGTAAGAGAGGGGAGCTGGGAGAAAGATACTGATGGGATTCAGTTGAGAGTGCTTGTTAACAGGATTCGTTGTGGTTGCCAGACTGCTGGGTATAAAATTAGCTGTCTCAGAAGTAGGAGTGGGGAATCTCACTAGGAGTAAAAGAGAAGAACAAAAGAATGGAGGTACATCCTTGGGACCCCAAGAGCTCACTTTGAACCTCCATGATCCAGGAGACAACTTGGACACCAGACGTGTGGCCGAGGGGCATCCAACAGTAGAACCAAGAGCCAGAGCATGAGACAGAGCTGTGGACAAGTAAAGCTGAGTGGTTTGGGGCCAGAGTCTGGCTTTCAGAGTGGGGTGCCTCTAGGCAATTAATTGGAGGAATTGGGTTTATGACTCACAGCACTGGAACTCAGTGCTTTCAGGCTGAGGCTTACAGAAGAGTAGCATACCCTTTGGGCATTTATTAGCAGGCCTAAAAGCTTTGTAGCACTGCTTAAGTAGGGCAGTAGCCAAGCCAAAGGCTGAGGACCAGAGAAAGGCATACTTGAGAACACTGCAGGGAAGAAACTCTCCTGACCAAATAGCTATATCCTGAGCATTTTTCACCTGACGTCCCCAAAAAGCCGCTTAATTGTGAGCATGATCTGTTAAGTTCTGTGTGGCCATTGCAATGAATTATGGAACCTAGCTGAAAATTAAAAGTGTTGTGAAAAATAAGCACCCCGTTCTAAAATTGTATTTTGTAACTGAATCTAAACTTCTTTACTCACTATTTTATCCCCAAGAAAAACCTTTGTTCTCCGCAAGCAACATGGACCACACTGAGAAATAAACTACCAAGCCAATCACGACAATTCAGGCATAAGGAAAAATTGTATCACATAGCCAATTGCATCATGATTTGGCATTCGTGATTAAAAACATATACTTCAAAGCTGAGGAAAATAAAAGAATCTTCTCTGGTTTGAACTAAAACGATCTCAAAGAAAAGCGTTAAAAGGATTCCTTTGTCCTCTTAAGTTTATGTAGGAAATAAAGGAAAAAGAAATTCCTTTCTGTTTATCAAAATACTATTATTCTTCAAGCTAAAATTATGCTTTTCTATCACTTAAACTGTTTTCTAAAATAATTTTGTTAATATAAATTACCTCTGGCTTTCAAGGGCTTAAATAACTCCATCCTGGTCACTTTCCTCCTTTTTCATATGCAACTAAAATAATGTATTGGAAATAAGGTTGCTGCCCTCCTCCTGCACAAAAAAAATCATCTCTTTTTCAAATGATCTAACACTACCAACTTGAATCAATGACCTACAGACACAAAACTCATGCTTATAAAGACAAAGCTAAAGAGAAAAATTCCATTATTGGGGGGGCGGGCATGTAGGAGGAGACGCTACGGGAATACTTAGTCTACTATCCCAAAGCCAAGGTTATTTCAATGCTCGCTATAATTTGCTACATATAATGAACATATGAAACTAAAATTCATGCTTACCAAAATCCGCTATCTTTGCATTCATGTGTGCATCAAGCAAGACATTCTCGGGCTTCAAGTCCCTGTGAACCACCATGTGCCTGTGACAGTAATCCACGCCAGAAAGAATCTGTTGGAACAGACGTCGACTTTCGCTTTCATCCAGCTAAGAAAGCAGAGAGGTCCCTTAGTGGACTTTCAGAGAAATTCTCTCACTGATAAAATTGTCAAAATACATGGAACCTTCCAAATGAACCTCATGCACAATTTTAAAATGTAAAGACAATGTTAAGCAGTATTTTTAGCCCAAGTCAGTAACTCACACTTTCTAATATTATCATTTTCATAAGATTCCCTTATAATAACTTATCTTCCTCTGTAACTTATGAGTTGCTTCTATTTGTTTTCAGATCTACTTGAAACTTTCTTATATATTAAAGAATTTAATCTTTCATTCCTTTAACAAATATTGATAAAAAATTGATCTTCAATGTACCACACACTATATAGACATACATAATACGGCAATGAATAAAGCAAAGGTCCTACTCTAGCTGATGAGAACAGATAACAAATAAATACAACTGTGTGATCATATTTTGAGGAAGAAATCCATATAATTGGACAAAAGTGATAACAGGGTGTTGGGGAGGGGAATATGATTTTAGCCTATGTGACAAAGTAACACTTACTCACTATTAAGGAGTTAACACCCACGTTACTATATATCCTGAAGTAAGATCTTAATTTTACTTATGAAAGCTTTAATTCACCTGTCTTATAAGTTATAAAAAATGTATTCTTACTGAAAAAAATGTATTTTATGATGCAACTACATTTTCAAAAATATATTTGAAAACTTCTCTATTCAGGTTTCATTTTGTGAAAATTTTTCCATAAGTGATAATCACTACTTAGGCAGGCACTGTTTTAAGAAGTCATTTTAATAAGTAAACTATTACTTCTCTAAGAAAAATACTTCAATATGCAAAACTCTAAAACAGGTGACTAATTAGCATTCTAGAACCAGACACAACACCTTAAATGGCACAAAAAAATCAGGGGAAAAACACACTAATGATTTCTTTTAAAAGCAAAATTAAAATGATTGAAGTACTGAGATATCTTTGTTATATGAATTCTTTAGCAATCCAACACCTTTATTACTCAAAAAATGTTGCTTCATTTTTAAAATACAACTGTTTCAAATATTGTCCATGGAAAATATCTACTCAAAATGTGAAAAAGAGAAAACATAATTGATTAAACAAAATAGAAGAGATAAAACCAGAAATGCTATAAAAATTAAAACTGTATTTGATAGTGATAATAAATACAAGACAAAGAATGAAGGAGATAGCAATACAGTAAATAAGAAAAGAGCCAAAGCATATTGCCAGCTAAATGCAGCAGTCTGAGCATGGAGCTTTTGTCTCCACGCCTGAAAAATCAGTGAAATGGCATGAAGAATACAAGAGGTAGAAGCTATGCAAGCAACAGAAGAGACAGCAGCGATGGAGGGAGTCAGCAAACTGGACAGTGGGCGAACAATGAAGAACGACAACGGCCCGGAGAACACAGAAACCCTGGCCCACAGACGGGGAACCCAGTCAGAAATAAACTCACGTGCACACAGAACCTCCTGGAGGCTCAGAACTAGAACAACTGGAAATTCTGAAGGCAGGGCTAAAAATAAGATGATTGGCTGAGAGATGTATTTAAACATCCTTACTAGGATAAAAGACTCGTCGTTTTCTTTTTAGTAAGACTGAACCAGCTCTGTTCTCAGTGACAGCAAAGCAGTGCTGAGGCACCGTGAGACAAACAAAGAAATTAAGTACAAGTTAACATACTGACAGCCCAACCTCTTCCCTCAGCTCCCCAACACTGGTGGCTGATACGGACAGGCAAGCTCAAGGGAATTTTGTTAAGATTTCCTCTGTAACAAACGTCTGACCCGAGAAACATATTTATAATTACAGGCATGCATTATTTAATATTCACAATCTATTCTGTGAACTAGGCAGTTATCTGATTTAAACATTGTACAAACATGCCTAAATCATGAGCAACAGCACTGATTCTCCATCTTTATGTTTTATAAATGTTTGTGTCTCTTGCCCTTTTGTTGCTATTACTAACACTGGTTCAGCTGCATTTGGAAGCCAAATTCTAAAGAATTTTAAGCACAGAGAGAAAATACATCAAGAAGACAGATGATACACAAGATTGGATGATGCTGCCTGAGCGTCTAAGCATACATACATTGTCATACAGTAAAATGTTTACTTGTAAGTAGAGAAAAACAAAACCAAACCCACTGCCATCTAGTTAATTCCAACGATTAGCAGGCCTATCATGCAGAATAAAGCTGCTCCCTAGGGTTTCCTAGGCTATAAATCTTTCCCCTCCTGCACAGCTGGTGAGTTTGAATCCCTGGCTTTACAATGCCTAGCCCCCAGCAAAAGTAGAGAAAGTTCATATTAAAATAACAATTGAAAGTACAATTTAGCACAGACATTAGCCAGTCACAGGTGCATTATTATGACGACCAAGACAGACATAGGATATGGATTATTTATGTAAAGTAAGGAGTTCTGGTGGCACAGTGAGTTAAGCGTTGGGCAGCTAACTGCCAAGCTGGTGGTTCAAATCCGTCAGCCACGCCACAGGAGGAAGAAGCTGCATTCACGATTTACAGTTTCAAGGACCGAAGAAGTCGGTCCCCTCTTTCCCATAGGGTCAATGCAACGGCGATGGGCTTTGGGTTTGTGTACTGCACCATCATATACCTGGCAGGGCAATTGCTTTGTATACAATGTAAATGAAATGCCCACTTCACAATTCACCATGTCTCATTCTCCGAGTGGTATTTCTGAACACTATTATAACTTATGGGCCCATGGAAGTATCTTCAGTCAACAGTCCCTGAACGAATGTTATGTGGAGTATGACTGTCTTGAAATGTAATGTACCTTAATAAAATGAATTGTTACTACTCAATCAACATATGGAAACACACCCCAATCAATGAGTCTCACCCATATGAGCTTCACATTTAATACCTTATTCTTCAACATGAGTGGACAACCAAGAATCAAGAGACATCCAAGGAAGGGTCAAACAACAGACAAAGTCCAATGAAAATGAATAAGAAAAAATGGGAGATGGGCACAGAGGAAGAAAAAAAATGAAGAGAATAAAATAAAACTTTTTACAACCTAATTATCCTACGACACGCAAAGTTTTGACATCTGTGTGGAGCAAAACCAGCAAGCTATTTAAAGAGTTCTTACAGACAAGAGAGCGCTTTGAAAAAGAAAATACAGCAGCTGAAATTTTAATATGCAATAAGCAAAATAAAAAATTCCCTACAATGCAAAACAAGATGGCCAAGAAATGAGAAATGGAAAATGTCAGAAAACAAGATATTGATCCAACTTGTGCCCATTTCCATTTTCCAGGAAGAATTTTAGGGGTGGGCGGAGCAGGGTAGGGCACAGAAGAGGAGGAATACCTGAAAGTAAAATGAATCATGTTATGAAACAATAAAATCAAAATTAACTTAGTTAATGAGCTTGATTTGGATGAAAATAAAACACATGTACTATAAAGAACATATGACTGAATGAACGTAAAGATCCCTAGATTGGGGGTGAGAAACTGGCTTTCAGCTAGATATGGCTCTTTGAGAAAGTATTTTGTATACCATACTACCCTGAGAGGAGGGGCGGGGGTAGGGGAGTGGGGGCGGGGGAGAAGGCATGGGCAGGGGACACTATTCAGTTTATTTTATCTGTAACTTAGATACTGTTCAAAATGTCTTCTTAGGTTACCTCCAGTTCTACATTCTTTAGTCTAATTCCTACCTCCATCATGGAGCCTGTTCTTACTACTCCAGGTACATCAGATTTCTGAAACCAAAAAATGAATGCAATTTAAATGTGGCTAGGGTTGGCTAGTAAAGCCTAGGTGGTTAATAATTAATAATATACTTTGTCAGGATTAAATATATACTTCAAGACTGTATACCTCAGGATTCTGAATTCTGGGGCCTCACTCAACTCTGTCATTAAAAAAATTTGACCTTGAGCACATATGTAAGGTGTTAGCTTCAGGTTCCACATCTGTATTGGTAGGCTAAAGGAAATATACTTTAAAGTCCTTTCTTTTGCTAGTCTATGATTCTAAACAAATAAATGATTAAGGGAATTTGGTTATTATATACACTGTTAAGAGAATTGCTTTCTAATATTTTGATGCTAGTAAAGGGGTGAGGGGTGTTATAAAATACATATAGGATTAAATCAGAACTGCTTACCCTTCCATTTTTACAGATATAATCAAATAGCTCTCCTCCTGAAACATATTCCATCACCATGAAAATATCAGATGGTGTACTGATGACCTGGTACCTGGTGAGAGAAAACATTATCTACTAACATTGAGACATGTACATTCATTCAATAAATAGTTACTAAGTGCCTATAGTGTGCCCAGCACTGTACTAGGACCTGGGGAAATAACAAGGGACAAAACAAATTCCCTATCCTTATGGAGAGTTCATCTTCCAGGAGCCAGGAATCAGACACCAAATAAGCAAGCATTATGTGGATAGCAAACGTGCTACGAAGAGAAGTGAGTAAGTAAGTAGATAATAAATAAATAGAGCCGAAGGAAGCCCAGGTGCAAACTCTGCCGTTATTCAGGACGGTGAACCTGGAAGAGGGAGCAGCAAGGACAAGGGAAAGCCTGCCTGGGATGTTTCAGGAATGGTTTAAAAAAACAAAAATGGCTGGAGCACAGGGAGCTAGAGGAAAAAGAGAGTGTGGAGGCAAAGGAGATACGGGACAGAGTACAGGAAAGAGGCCGTGGGGAAGCTTGGCTTTGACCCTAAGCAAGATGGTAAGCTATTGATGGGTTCAAGCAGAGCAGTCATGTGAGTTGGCACATTAAAAGAAGAACCATGTGGTGGTGAGAAGAATTAACGGGGTCGGCAAAGGTGGAAGCACAAAAAAGACTGCAATAGTCCACGAGAGAGATGAAGGTGGCTCAGATTAGGGTGATGAGAAAGTCAAGACTTTTATTTTGGGATAAGGTAGAATGGATGGATGAGTAAGAGAAAGTAGGAAATTAATAGATGTTTCCTAAGTTTTCTCCCTGAGCAAGTTGGATTGTACAGAAATGGTGAAAATGGTCAGAAGCCAAGCTTAGGAGAGTGGCAGAGTTCCGAGTGGGCCATGCTGAGTTTGAAGTGGCTCGTCGACACCCCAATGCAGATGTCAAGGAGTCAGGAGGAATGGAGTCTGGAATATGAGGAAGAAGCTTCCCTTCAGGAGATGTACACTGAGAAGTTATCAACGGATGGATGGAGGACATTTAATACCATACCAACAAATTAGAAAAGGTGAGGTGAAACAAACTTTGAGTCAGACCGTTAAGAACAAGACCCTATGTAAACAGCTCCAATTGATTAATAGCCTGCATAATGAAGCAGAAGCTAAGCAATTCAGTAAATTATCTGTAGGGCCATAATGATCAACTGTAAAGCAGCAATAAGATTACTACTCTTTTTCAGCCTGGGGTTCCTGAAATTTTATTATTGGCTTTGTTGGCTATAAGCAGCACGAGGTAAAGCATTATTTCCAGTACGGCTAACTGACACTGGGGGGACTCGGGAGGTGGAGAGTTTCTACCAGCAAATCATTGTGGCTTGTGCAGCAATAGGAGTAATTAATTCTATGAGGACATCTGTCTGCAACATGAGAGAATGAGAAGGTTAACGGTTTAAAAGCACAAAGCAAACGTGAGCGTAGGCTTAAGTGACCATGAATGGGGTTAAATAAATACACAAAGAGGAAGAAACTTCTCAAAACCCCTCAGGACACAGAACAAAGAAATGTCAGTCATCTTTCCCACTTGTAAGATTTAGTAGTTAACAAAAGTGATGAAAAGATGATTTCCCATAGTTAATATAATCAGTGCTTACAGTTTAATTATGTGAGGGTGCCTGAAAAGCTTCAGGTTCTGAATTTCTCGGCGTATTTTTCCTACCACATCGAGGCTTCGAATCTTCTGTCGGTTGAGTATCTTCACAGCAACTTTATGCCCAGTCAATTCATGTTTGCCAACTGTAGGAGAAATAATATTTAATAATTTAGTAACAAGTTTGAGTAGCAAAATATTTATATTTTAGTCCAAGAGCTATGCTAGAAGTCCCTGAAAATACTTCAGATGTTTAAATTCTTCAGCCTGATATACCTGCTGGATGTTTAAATGTTTGAATAATTAAACAGGAGAAAACATACATCAGAAACCAGTAACACGGGAGGGTGGAGGGAAGGTGAGGGAGAAAGGGGGACAGATTACAAGGCTCTACATATAACGTCCTCCCTGGGGGACTGACAGCGGAGAAGTGGGTGAAGGGAGATGTCGGACGGTGTAAGATATGACAAAATGATAATAATTTATAAATTATCAAGGGTTCATGGGGGGGCAGGGAGAGAGGGAAAAACGAGAAGCTGATACCAAGGGCTCAAGTAGAAAGCAAATGTTTTGAGAATAAGGGGGGAAACAAATGTACAGAGGTGCTTGACACAATGGATGGATGTGTGGATTGTGATAAGAGTTCTGTGAGCTCCCAATAAGATGATTTTTTTAAAAACTAGTAACAGTGTTTCTTATAGAAAGTCAAACTGAAAAAAAAGAAAGTCAAACTGTACTGCTAAGGGATTTTCACTTAATTTTTTAATTTACCTTTCCAAACTACCATACAGACAAAACTCCCATGGGGTGGGCGCGTAGGTATCAGGTTGTGTGTGTGTAGGGTTCTATGGATCTTAACACATGTATATTTGTGTAACCAATACTATAATCAAGATACAGAACAGTACTAT